TTAGGGCTTAGGGCTTAGGGCTTATCGGGTTTAGGGTTTAGGTGCTTCGGACAAAGCTCTTGCCCGGACTGGATCTAGCTGAGACTGATTGAGTGCTCAGGGTTCACATGGGTAGCTCTCTAAATTAGGGCCCCTTGTTGGGTCGCCCAAAATAGTACGTCACCCTTTTCAAAAGGACCACAAACGGGGCCCTAATTTAGAGAACCACCCACATAGCCTAAACCCTAATCTATCAACCCTAAACCACTGAAGTTACGGCCTGCGGGTTAAACTAGAACAGTACTCAGAAGCCCTATGATAATGCACGGCATATTCCTTAAATCATTCGAAGAATATGGGCTACGGAGTACTCCTTGTACCAGAATAAGAAACCGTTAAAGGCTCTTTCTGTACGCGTAAAGGCCTCGCCGACTTGCCCTTGCGCGACGAGCAAGTCTAAGAGTCGCTCCTGTCAGGACACATTCAGAAGAAATAGGGCGTACTATAGGGGCCTTACTAATCAGAATAGTGTTTCGGGGTCCTTTATATTATAAGTACAATAGGGAACCCCCAGAATAATATAGATAATTATTGAGGCACCTGTAGTAAAGGTGCATGGTTCATGGTTTAGGGTATAAGGGCTCTGGGGCTTAAGGGTTCATGGCTTAGGGCTTTGGGGGTAAGATGGTTTTAGGTTTAGGGAGGCACACAAGGGGAATTCTGAACATTACCTGAAATTCAGGGTCTTACAAGGGTTTTGTACGGTCTTGTTCAGGTTTTACAGGGCGTGAATCGCCGGAATAGCTAGAATATGTTTTGGGAGTATATTACAGTTGCTACTGCTTGTTGAGAGCCATGTCATTACACAACTACAAGACGTGCTGAATTCCCTAAGCAGTTCATTATTGTTCCCTTATAGCTTTCTGGGTAACAAAGTCATATAGGCCTGAGTTCGAGTTTAGGCTTTGGGACGTAGTGTGTCAGTGTCGCGTGTAATGAAAAGCCTTCTCCCTCAAACCCTGAATCCAAACCACTGAACCATGCACACAAAGCCGAGGGCCCTGAACCTAAACCCGATAAATCCCAAAAAAAGCCAACTCCTCAACCTGGGCCCCAACAACATCGTCATGCATTCCAAACCTGTGAGTCAGACTCCCCCTCGAGACCCAACAACCCTTTGACAAAAATCTTACAAAAAACCCTCAAAGAGGTGAACAAACTATCAGACTGATAGTATCAGTGGTAAAGACCTGCAAAAATGCAGAAACACAGCCCTGAACCCTAAACCTCAAACCTTAAACCCTAAAGCCTAAACCCTAAAACCCTAAGCACCAAACCCCTCTCACGCGCCTCGTCCTCGGCACTGAGGCTGCAGCGCCGGGAGGCGCCCAAGGCGGCGTCCAGGAGCTGTCGCCTCTGTGCCACTTAACGTGTTAGGGTTTAGGCTTTTAGGGCTTCAGGGTTTAGGGTCTGGAGCTTCTAGGGTTGATGGTTCAGGCTTTAGCTTTGGGGTTTAGGGTTCAGGCTTGGGGGGGGGGGGGTTGGGTTAGGAGTTTAGGGTTTGGGGGTTGAGTGGTAAGGATTCTGCTTCTTGGTATACAGGGCCTCAGGCAAGGCACTCCCGAAGAGCTTCGAGGTTGCGGGTGTGTGTAATGTAGGGGCCTTGATAGTTAGAACAGGGTTTTGGGCCCATTATACTATTCTTACAACACGGAACCCCCAAATATAGTATAGGTAATTATTTCGGCCCCTATAGAGTACATACAGTACAGGGAATGGTTGGTGTCTTGGGGTCCTGAGATTTGCAATACCTGAACCAAAAACGGAAATGTTAACACCCATTAATCAAGGCCCATACCAACTTCCGACGATGCCGCTGTCCCAAATCAACTGGCAGGTGGAAGGCTGCTTGTACCATCACAACTTAGGGCTTTAGGGTTTTAGGGTTTAGGGTTTAGGGTTTAGGGTACATTGCGTTGTATATACTATACAGAGATCGAGCACCACGATACCTGAAGCCCAAAACACCCTGACAGTTCTCATCCCGACCGCACCCACAAAGGACCCAACCGCGCCTCGTGCCAATACCCATCGGGGAGGCGTCTGCCTGCTGCTGGATCTTCCTAAGCCCTGAAGACCCTTCTCAAGGTAGGAGCCTGATAGCAAAAAGAAGGTTCTGTAGCCGCAAGAAGTCCAGATCAAGGACCCGAAGAAGAGCCCGAAAGGTTTTGGATCTGATCCCTACATCAGGGCTGAGTTCTTGGGATCCCGAGAACCTAAACCATAGACCCGAGATTTCTAGACGCGAACCCTAAACAACAGAACCCTCAACCCGAGATCTCTTTGAGGAATACGCGAATACACCTTATCGAGCCGCTAAAGGGAAGCCTCCCCCGCTCTCCTTAAGGTACCATGATGCGGAGTACTACCTACATACATGCATACATACGTACACACATGCATGCATGCACCTGTAGTTATAGTTACAGTTATAGGGTGAGTTTTAGCGGTAGTTATACTGGTACTTCTAGTTATACTTATTGTTAGTGTGCTAGCAAACAGTCTGGGGTTACCTGTTACATTCTCCAATACTCGGAGATTATGGCAGCTTGGTTGCTTTCCTTGCCGTGGTGTCTTCGCTGCAACTCCTTGTCAAGAACCCTAAACCCAAAACCCTAAAACCCTAAAACCCTAAACCCTAAACCCTAAAACCCTAAACCCTAAAACCCTAAACCCTAAGCCCTAAAACCCCAAAACCCAGGCTTTGATCCGCCTCAACGGCTCCATCCGACTCTACCCACAGAGGCGAGATCGCCTCCAGAACCCGAAATCTTCAAAGCCTGCACCCTGAACCCGAAACAGTTTGGGTTTAGGGTTTAGGGTTTAGGGCCCTGAAAGGGCTTAGGGTTTAGGGCTCAAGGCCCTCGAAAGTATCTCAATGAACCAACCCATACTCCATGCCTCTTGAAGGATGCGCCCCTCTTGGAAGTAGCCTCATTGACCCGTTGAGGCCTAGGGTAAGTACTTGGGGGTGGCAAAGAGCCTTAAATCCTAAACCTTCAACCCCAAACCCGAACCCTAAACCCTAAACCCTAAACCCTAAACCCAAAACCCTAAACCCTAAACCCTAAACCCTAAACCCCTAAAACCTAAACCCCCAAACCCGGAAGACCCCTCGCCTCCATCGCAACTGCGACGTCCGTCTTCTGACCTCAGGAAGCGCAGGATCGACAGGGTTTAGGGGTTTAGGGTTTAGGGTTTAGGGTTTAGGGTTTAGGGTTTAGGGTTTAGGGTTTAGGGTTAAGGGATGGGACTGTGAAGACTGCAGCGCTCAAAGTTTCATGGAAGCGCCTTTGAAAACTGAGTCTGAAGCTCTCAGATTTACGGGTACAGCATTCCATTATACTCTACCCTAAACCCTAAACTCTGAACCCTTGACCCTAAACCCTGAACCCTGAACCCTGAACCCTGAACCCTAAACCCCAAACCCTAAACTCTAAGTTTTCTCACCTGACTGCATGCCGTCCGGTGACAACCTGAGCTTCACGAATATCTGCAGCGATCCTGACTTACCACAAGGGCCTCGAGAGTGAATAAACATGAATAAATATAAGGGCTTAAGCTTTAGGGTTTAGGGTCCCGAAACCCTAAACCCTAAACTAAACACTTATTGTTTGTATATGGTTATAATTGCTTGGTATAAAGGGCACTTAACACTGAGTAAGTCTGTCCCCATATTGTCCTGAAGTTACATTATGTATAAGTTTTTTTGGGGGGAGGGGCGTAATACTTCGTAAGTATGTCCATTTTACATATACTGCAATATGCCCCAAATTCTAATTGCGCCCGCCCCTTTGGTATGGACTACACAAGCCTATCCGGAAAGATCGTTGGCCCCGGTATTTTCAGGCCTGACTGTAAGGGCTTTCAGAAACAAAACGTGAGCCCGTGAGCCCTAAATCCCTACACCCCTGAAGGAACTCAACCTGAAAACGAGGAAAGCCCTAGGCCCTGAACCGGGAAAGCACTATGTATCCTGAAACCCTAAACCCCTAACCCCAACCGCGGACCAGCTGCCAGCAGGGGCCGGCGACGGCTGCGAGGGGGCCACTGCGCTCACCTGGTGATCGGAACCCTAAACCCTAAACCCAAAAACTGAAACCTCAAACCTTAGGGGGTTCTATCTGTTGGGGTTTCGGCTTGACGGTACAGGATTGAAGGGTTTTGGGGATTGGGTTTCAGGGTTTAAGGGTTTGGTATTTGGGTTTCAGGGTCTTCGGACTTATCGCTTACAATCCATGAGGGCTGAGGCTTTCATTGTGCAAGGCGTCCTTTACATGGCTTCAGTGATAAGGGAACTTGGCTCTCAGGGGCTTCTCCCAGCAATCAGTGTGATCGCCTGCCTGATTCCTCATGGATGCTCGATCGCGACTTCCTCTGCCCCAACCCCTAAACCCTAAACTGCAGGGCCTTAGAGCCCAAAACCCGACGCCCGACACCCGAGGCCGTACGCTCCAACCTGTTGACCCCACACCATGTAGCTTCAACCCTCCACCCTACCTTGCAGGGAAGGGTGAAGATTTGGGAAACTGGGAAACCCAGAAATGATGAATTTAGGGAGTGACTCGTCCAGCATGGAGCCTTCAGACCAAACTACTGGCATCCCTGTAGAAGCTCACAAGCGCAAGCCAATGATCCAGCACCCTGAACCCAAAGTGCTCAAATCTTAAACCCCCGCCCTCCGCAAAAAAAAAACAAAAAAACAGGAAGGAAGAGAGCTAAAACCAAAACAACCCGACACCATGAGGACCCTGAGCAGCACCCTCGTCCTGAATGTCAGTCTTCAGGTCTTTTGATCCCACAAACTAGAGAAACCCTAAACCCAAAACTAAAGCTAGAGATTATACCCCGTCATTGGGTCTTCCTCCTGAAGACTGTGGCTGAAGGTCCATTCGAGGGATTCCGTCTCCAGAACCGAAGAAACCGGTTTGGGATTTAGGGTTTAGGGTTTCGGGCTTGGGATAAGGGTGAGGGTTGAGGGTTTAGGATACCTCTCTTCCCAGCTGGCCTCGTAGTACTGCTGCGTCAGGCTGCGCACGTCCTCTTCGTTGGAGTGTGGACTGTGGGGCTGTGGATCTAGAGTCGGAGGTTTACAGTAGTGTTGATAGCCAACAAGCCCAAACATCCCTCACCGGGCGACCAGCAGGAGTGAGTGAGAGTGAGTGAGTGAGAGTCGCCCCTTGGCAAAAGGACGGGCACCCGCGTTGTCTCCACCCCGAGAAGGGGTTAAGACGCAAACGGGGCGTAGGGCTCCGAAAACGTCATGGCCTTACGCGCGGCAGAGCAAGCAACCCGCATCACCTGAATATCCATGGGCCCGCCCCCCCAAGCCAGCAGGGGCAAGCTAGCACGGGTTGGAAGCACACTTGGCAAGACAGCCCACTTCATAGATCCAAAGCGGTTCCCGACATGATCCCTCATGAAGGTACGAAGCAAGGGATGCCGGCACGAACCAGAGACTCAACCACGACTGCCATGTTACCAGGGACCACCTCCAGCCACGGCCAATGAAAGGCCATCCCCTGCGATGTGGCGGCACTTCACAGTATGCCCTCCGCGCGATGGGACGGTGCCGAGGACAGTGTGGCACCGTCCCCATCAAGGAGGTTGACAGGACATCAGGAAACCACCAGGAAACCAAAATGCTTTCCCTCAAGTACTGGCGGACTCGGAGCATTCGAGAGCACGGCGGAATCGATTCCCCCAAGTAGCGGCGGCTCGGGGAGCATTCCCCCAAGTACTGGCGCGTTGCGGCGGACGACTTATCTTCCTCCCCTTAGCTTGCGAGATCTAGAGGAACGCCCGAAATCGCTTCCACCAAGTATCGCCGCGATTCAAAGTTTTCGAGACCCATACAGAACCAAAGCCTCAACTCCTCAATCCCAAACCCAAACCCCAAAACCCACACAGCCCAACCGCCAGAAAGAGAGTGGGTTTCGGGTGTTGGGTCAGGTTTGCGGGTTTGGGTTTCTGAACATAGACTTTCGGAATTCACCCAAAACCCTGTTCTACTTACTAAGGCCCCTATTTTAGGCCCTGAGTACCCCTCATACTTCGTAATCCCTGTCGACCTCTTTACACAGGATCCCTGAAAGGAACCCCATATTACTTTTCAGCTCAGTTTAGGGTATAGGGTTCGGGGCTTACCCTAAACCCTGAACCCTAAACCCCAAACCGTTTAGGGTTTAGGGTTCGCCTCCATAGCTTCGGAGAGCTTCCACAAGACGTTGACCTCGAGCAAGGCTCGGGCAAAGAAGGTTTGTCCGAGGCATCCGTGTTTTTTTAGGGTCTCGGGCCGTTTGGGGTGGCGCAGCACTGCTTTTGAGCTTGGAGGAAGAGTCCGAAACCCTAAACCCTAAACTTTAGCTCCTTTCCATACTTTGGTTGAGGGCTTGGGGTCCGGGGCTTGCGCTTCGGGTTTCAGGCTCTCTGCTGCTTGCTTGCACCTTGGGCATTTCAGAGAAAGATGTAGGGGCCTGAATACTTAGAATGGGTTTTTGAGTATTTTATACTATAGTTATAACAAGGAACCCCCAAAATAGTATAGGTACTTATTTAGGCCCCTGTAGTATTTGCGGGCACTCTTGAAGAATACTGCTGTGTCGCTGCGGAAGGGCTCCGCGGCAGCTTCATGGAGTTTTCTAACGCGTTCTTGGTACGACATGATTCTTGCGCAGAACCAGAACCCGACAGTAGGGTTCAGGGTTTAGGGTTGAGGCTTTAGGGTTAAGGGTTTAGGGTTTTTTTAAATGTGTTTAGGGTTTAGGGTTTAGGGTTGCATTTGTTGAATTTCCATACCCGTAACCTGTAGCGTAACCCGATCAACTTCCCGAATCCAAACGCTCAGACAGCAGTCACTCTCAGCCTCACCTCAGGCTTGTCAGATAAAGAGGTATTGTACTGCCATCTACATCTACTGCTTCCAGCCCCCCCGCCCACATTCCTAGACCAAACCCCCAAATTTAAAAAATGAACAACGATTCCCTAAACCCTAAACCCTAAACCCTAAACCCTAAACCCTAAACCCTAAACCCAGTCTTGGCCGCAGAGCGAGGGCCACCACGTCGTCCCGGGAGGTGGTACTAGCGATGAGGTCCGGCGGGCTCAGGAGGATCTTCAAAGCCTCCAGCCAAATGTCACTCCGATCCTCTTCTTTGTGGGTTTAGGGCTGAATCGGGCTTCGAGTGTAGGGTTGAAAGCCTAAGGGTTTAGGGTTTAGGGCATAGGGTCTAGGGCACAGGGTTTAGGGCATAGGGCTTAGGGCTTAGGGAGTATTCTGAAGGATCGTCCCTGAACAGTGCCATCCCTGCTTCTGGCTTTGGGGAGTAATCCTCTGACGAGCAACGGCCAGTTCGTAAGGATTCCCCTCGTCATCCCTCCTCGACCCGAAGCCCTACACGCTCAACCCTAAACCTTAAGCTACTCATGATTTAGGGAAGGCTCCTTGATGAAGGGATCTTGAGTGAGTGGAGGCTTTTTTGAGGGCTTGGGGGTCGTAGGGTATTTAGGGCTTCGTGACCGTGACTTAGCGGGGCTTTGGGGTTTGGAGGCTTTGGGTTTAGCGTGCTAGGGGTAACAGTTTAGGGCTCAGGGAGGGTTCGGGCTTAGTGATGCTCTTGAGGCAAGCTGGCGCAGGTTACAAGGAGCCGGGAATTGGGGCCATCTGACGGGGGAACGTCAAGTCCTCTTTCTGCGGCAAGCTGTTTGGGGAATCACAGATGGCAGGGTGCGGCGGGCCATGGAGGAATTCCACTGGGCAGTGTGCTGCTTGCAGCCAGTTGGTGTGGCCGTACATCAACATAATCTGCTGTTCAAAACTACTAGGAACAACAAGAACAACGACAGTACGAATAAACAGCAAGAGTATGATATGTCCGGGCGGCTGTGCCCAAGCCCAATGAAAAGAGCTTCGCATGCAGCCGACAGCGTTGGCACTGAACGCAATCCACTAGCTCCTCGGCAGAGTTGTGCAAGTGCTCGGTTTAGGGTTTAGGGTTACCTCGGATTACTAACTGCATTGTATGGGGCTTCTCTACTATCGTCTTCGGGCTCTTGCAGGGTCGCGCGCTGTCTTCTTTAGTCCGGGGCTTCGGAGTGCAAAGTAACCCTAAGGGTCCATGTACCCAAATAGTAGATACTTTGGCCTCAATGTAGGCCCTACATAGGTACTTTGGGACCAAAGTATATACTATTTGGGTACATGGACCCTTGGGGTAATTTGGAGCTTTGGGTTCGGTGCCTTGGCACTTTCGGACCGAGCTTCCTAGGTTCAGGGCCTGTAATATAGGGGCCTTAAGAATTACCAAGACTATTTGGGGGCTCCTTGTTATAATTATAGTATAATGGGCCCCAAAACCCTTTTGTAATTATTAAGGCCCCTGTAGTAGGGCGGCAGCCTCAATCTTGAGTCCCAAGCACGAGAAAACGGCTCAGGATGGTCTGAAACGTCGAGCCAAAACCGACAAGTGCTCTGCAATTAGTCATACTCCTGCCTCGCAGGGACTACTGGGGTTTAGGGCTTAGGGTTTAGAACCGATTTGCTTCAACAAAAACCACAAACCAGCCAAGCCGCGGTGATGTTCCGGAAGACGCTCCTGGAAACGGGGCAGCACAGCAGCATTTCGAACCAATCGCTCGAAGCTTCGGGGACTGCAGGGTCGTATAGGGGCCTGAATGATTAGAATAGGGTTTTGGGGGTTTAGTAAACTATACTTATAACAAGGAACCCCCAAGACCCTGTTCCAATTATTAAGGCCCCTACATGACATGGGTGTTTTAGAGAGTTTAGGAACATGCTCTAAGCCCTGAATCCTAAACCCTAGGTTTAGTGCTGATGTCCATCGTCGACCCGTCGTTCTGTTCTGGCCACCTGAAACACTAGTAACCCAGAAGCTGCAGTACTCTGAAGTTCGGGTTTGCTTAGGGTTTAGGGTTTAGGGTTTAGGATTTAGGGTTTAGGGGTTCAGGAGTTAGGGTTTGGGGTTTAGGGCATGTTCCGTTTTGGAGTTGCGAATAGGTGCTGTAAACCCGAACTTACTTTTGCCATGCTTGCTACATTAAACTTCATGACACCAAAATCCAAGAACAATGAAATCAGAAAAGGCTTCCCATATAAACTCTAAATTCCCGAAATCTTACTCAAACCCTCCAACCCTCAGATCGCAAGACCTGAAGCCCGCAAGCCAACCCGAAACACCGCTGCGCCACCGCTGCTGCTTCTACTACTACTACTACTACTACTGCTGCTACTACTACTACTACTACTACTGCTGCTACTACTACTACTACTACTGCTACTACTCAAGTACTGCCACTACCACTAGCACCATTTCTTCTGCTACGAAACCCTCGAAGCATAGAAGCAACCCCCAGCCCCTAAACTTGTTCGCCATATACCCAAAACCCTAAACCCTGAACTCTGAACCCTAAACCCTAAACCCTGAACCCTAAACCCTGAACCCTAAACCCTAAACCCAAAGCTCCAAGCCGAGTTGCTTGAACTGCCGCTTCAGGGCGCTCCGCTGCTCTGACGGTGCATGAAAGAGCCGCGTCTCGTCGAAGGCCTGAAGGGAGGAGGGTTCGATAAGGGGCTTCTATAAGGTGTTCAAGGTTATTTTTAAGTGTGGTGGGCTTAGGGCTCAAGGTTCCGGGGTGAGGGTTTGTGGTTTAGGGTTCGGGATTTAGGGGGGTTTGCGTTTACAGCTTTTTTTGAGGGTTTGACAAAGGGGCCCTAAACGGGATCCATAGGGCTTCTATAGGGGTTCAGAGGTAGCTCTGATGGGGTTAGGGTTTAGGGTTTAGGGTTTCTAGTCATTCTAGTCAACAAAGCGCCAAAACGCAAACAAGCGAAAGCCTTCACAGGCACGTGCCACTCGTAAAACCTCACAAGTTGGAATCCCTCTACCACTGCATCAACTGCTGATAGGCCCAACCTTGAATCACTGAAGCTGAAATCGATCAAGCCTACAACCCCTACCCCCTAAACCTAAATGCAATACACCCCTGATTGAAAAAGCTGATACATCCTGATGGAACCGAGTAGAACCCCAAAACAAACCCTACAGAAACGTCGTAAGACCCCCCAGAGAAAAAGTGAGCCCTAAACCCTAAACCCTACAACCCAAATTACTAAACCCTAAACCCTACCCTAAAGCCTACAACCTAAATTACCAAACCCTAAACCCTAAACCCTGCAACCTAAATTACTAAACCCTAAACCCTAAACCCTGCAACCTAAATACTAAACTCTAAACCCTAGAACCTAAAGTACTAAACCCTAAACCCTAAACCCTGCAACCTAAATTGCTAAACCCTAAACCCTGATCCCTGCAACCTAAATTACTAAACCCTAAACCCTGCAACCTAAATTACTAAACCCTAAACCCTGCAACCTAATTTACTAAACCCTAAACCCTACAACCTAAATTACAAAACCCTAAATTACTAAACCCGAATTACTAAACCCTAAATTACTAAACCCTAATTACTAAACCCTAATTACTAAACCCTAAACCCTAAACCCCCAAAAGGAAGCCTCGAAGAGCGGTGAGCAGAGTGACAGCAGCTGGGAGTCGAGAAGTCTCGCCATCAGAAGCTGGCGGCGAGTTTGGGGTTTTGGGGTTTTGGGGTTTAGGGTTTAGGGTTTAGGGTTTAGGGTTAGGGTTTAGGGTTCAGGGTTTAGGGTTTAGGGTTTCGGAGTGCGGATGGAGGCGGAGGTTTTCTGCGGTTTCGGTTTAGGGCTTATCGGTTTAGGAGGGTTTAGGGGCTATGAGTTTATGAGTTTAGGGCTTTGGACTTAGGGTTTAAGAAGCGGTTTAGGGTCTAGGGTTTAGGGGCGGCAGGGGCTGTAGGGCTCGTAAGACCCAAGGCGCTAAGGAGTGGAATCTCGGCTTCGTTTAGCAGCAAAGGCTCACGGCTTTGGGGAGCAAGCCCCGAGACTCCCGAAACTACGAAACGCTAGAAGCCTGAACTGTTCAAGGTGCCTTTCGCCCCAAACGACAGCTATAGAAGCCTCGTGGCAACCTTCTACCCAAAGCCCTAAACCCTCAACCAGACTCCTTGAAGGCCCTGAACCGAAGATGCGAGCCCACCTTCGTCACGCCATCCTCCTTCTCATCCCCCGTGTGGATGGAGTAGCTTTGCAGATAGGGTGCCGCCTCTCCGCGGTGAAGGGACCAAAGGGTTTAGAGCTTAGGTTTTAGGCAGGGGTTAGGGTTTAGGGTTTAGGGTTTAGGGGCTAAACACATACAGACCTATACGTGCACTTTTGGACCCGTCGCGCAATGGCGTGGAAAGGATCTGCCCCCCCTTCACACACCGCATGTTTTCAAGAAAAGCCTTGCACTAGCCCTAAACCCTGAACCCTTAGACCCTTTGGTTTAACTTGCCCTACCCTAAACCCTAACCCCTAATCCAAAATCCTTCGGTTTAGGGAACCCTAAACCAGTTTCGGGAATGCCTGGGCTCTCTGGGTTCAGGGGACCCTAAACCCTTGTGTCGGGTTGGGAGCACTCTACTGAAAATACGGAGCCCGAAGCCTGAACGCTAGACTCCGAACCCACGGCTTGGGGTTTAGGGTTTAGGTCTTTGGGTTTAGAGTTTAGGGTTTAAGTCTTAGGGTTTAGAGCTTAGGGTTTAGGTCTTAGGGTTTAGGTCTCAGGGTTTAGGTCTTAGGGTGTAGACTTTAGGGTTCAAAAGTTTAGGGTTTAGGGTTTAGGGTTTGGGGCAGTTTAGGGTCCAGGGCTTAGGGAGACCCCGCCCCAAACTCACCTGGCCTTCTTCACGGCCCGGAGGAGGACGACGAAGGAGAAGTGCAGGTTCCTTGTCTCTTGGGGGGTTCGCTTCAGGCTACCATAGGGGCCTTAATAATTGGAATAGGGTTTTGGGGCCCCTTATATTATAATTATAATAAGGAACCCCCGCAAAACATAGTCTCGGTAATTATTGAGGCCCCATTTTTATGGGGTTAGGGTCTAGGGCTTAGGATTTGGAGGAGCCTTTCTTGGTAAGATGGGCTTAACTTGTCTTATGAAAAGCTCAGGGTTTAGGGTTCAGGGTTTGGGATTTTAGCCACAAGGCTCGGGCTTAGGGGCGTGTGCGCAGGCACATGTTGGTGAAGGGCGTTGCACTTCGGCCGCGTGGCTCAGGTTTTAGGGTTTGGGGTCGGATCTTGTTGTTGGGGATTCGGGCTTGTGGTCTCGGAGTTAGTGTGTTTGGGTTCTTTGGCGTAGGGTTGTGTTAGGGTTCGGGGTCTAGGCTCGATCTTCTGGCTAAACTGATAACAGCACACTACACGCATGTGGCATTGGCATTACCTCAACCCGAAACCCAGGACTCTTCACCATAAAACCCCGAAAGCCTTAAAGCCCTGGACCTCAAAGCCCCATCTGCCAAACCAGCCCTCAACCCGGAGACTCTCCACTTGGAGGATCATGGGACTAAGTGAGTAAGGATATGGGTGGTTCTCTAAATTAGATTCCCTTTTCGCGTCCTTTTTATAAGGGTGCCGTACTATATTGGGGACCTAAAGAGGGGCCCTAATTTAGAGAACTGCCCATATTTGAACAAGGTAACAATACTGATGACCACTTACAACCCCAATTCAGGTACTTATAACCTTACCTTAACCTACCCGAACCTACTTTTTTGTAGAGTCCCTATAAATCCCATATTAGGGTTTATAATAAGAACCTACAGAAAAGTGGGTTTTGGTAGGTTAAAGTACTTACTAAGTCCCAAGAACCTCCAAGTAGAGACTAGAGCCCTGCTCCGGCCTCTCTGATTCTGCAAAAGTCGGGCGAAGGTATGCTGGGGAATCCCAAACAAAAGTCTTTAGCTAGAGGCTCCTTTATCCCATTGAAACACAGGGGCCTTAAAAAAATCAGAATAGGGTTGTAGGGCAGTCGTATTCGGGACATCTCAGCCTTTGGGGCCCTTGGAGCAAAGTGCTCCTGCCGATGTTCATATATCTGTGGTTGTCAAACCATGGGTCCCTTTTTGGGCTTCCAAGTCGAGGAGTGCAGCATTAAGTCTAGAATTGTATAGGATTCCCGAGAAACCCTAAACCCTAAACCCTAAACCGCAAGACCATGATTTCGACAGCTACCCATATGCGTTATGGCACAGAAGCGCTCCGGACAAGCCATCAAAAAGCGCCGCGAGCAAAGGTTCAGGGGCGGCGTAGGGTTCAAAGTTTGGGGTCTGGGGTTTAGGGGTTCAAGGTTTAGGGTTCAAAGTTCGGGGTCTAAGGTTTAGGGCAGTAGAAACTGAGGTTCAGAGCTTCGAGTTGAGGATCTACGCCTAAAGTCTAAAGCCTGAAGCCCTAAACCCTAAACCCTAAACCCTAAACCTTTACAACAGCTCTGAAGCAACCAAGGCCCCGAGCCCCTGAAAAAGAGACCCCAGGTGAACTACCGCCCTGAAATCCTCAGAAACCCGAACTTCGAGTCCTTCGCCCCCCAACTGCGCCATGGAACCCGTAAAGATCCCCCCATAGCAACCTTCCGACTTCTGACGGAGGCTCTTCACCCTCTCCGGGTGTTCGCCGATGTCCTTCATGAACCGCTCCTGGGTGCAGCTTACGGCTTAGGGATGTAGGGTTCGGCTTTGGGGGGTCATCGGGGTTTCGAGGCTTTAAGAGTTCCGAGGTTTGGGGTTCAGGGCTCAGGGGTTTAGGGTTTAGGGTTTAGGGCTTATAGGGTTTAGGGTTTAGGGTTTAGGGTTTAGGGTTTAGGGCTCAGGGGTTTGGGGTGTTCGGGGTGTTCGGGGTCTGGGCTTTAAGGCTTGGGATTTAGGGTTTGGGCTTCGATGTAAAAGTCTCGAGGCCTCCCTGGAAGCCGTATGGCTTAAGCGCCTCTAATGTGGTTCGTTGGTGGGCTTGCAGCGGCGAGATCAAGGCAGGTGGAGCATGGCGCGGGTGAAGGATCTATCTGTAAAACACGATAACAAACTATACTACAATGGAGCAACGTACGATACTATGCGCAAGGCTCTTTTTGCGTGGATTCCCCTTACCTACCTCAAACATCAACGGTCTAGGATTAAGGGTAAAGCGTTCGGGATGAAAGGTGCACCTTAACCTACCGTCGGCTCTTAGTATAAACCCTAGTATGGGATTTATAGGGACCCTACAAAAAAAGTAGGTGCTGGTGGGTTAAGGTAGGGTTTAGGAGTAAAGGTTCAAGATTACTGATTAGGGGTCAGGGTTTAGGATGAATGAAGTGTGCAGGGTTTAGGGCCGGGCCAGATTCAAGGTTGGCCTAAACCCTAAGCCCAGAACCCTAAACCCTAATCCTAAACCCTAAACCCAAAACCCTAAACCCTAAACCCTTAAAGCCAAAAAACCCTAAACCCAAATCCTAAAAGCCCTAATCGCCGCCGTGAGGCCAGATTCGGTGACCAAGCGCCTTTTTGCTTCGTTCCTCCGCGGGTGCGAGTGTGATCTGGGTCTATTGAACCCCTCGTTTGGGGTTTAGGGTATAAGGCTTGGGCTTAGGGCTTAGGGCTTAGGGCTTAGGGCTTAGGGTTTTAGGGCTAAGGGCTTAGGATCTGGGGTGTGGGCTCTGGCTTAGGGTACACTGGGAGCGTGTGGGGATTTTGGTCGGAGCCTGCATTTCT